CTACCATGAGCTTCTTTTTCGCAATATTTCTTTGTCTATACTTAGAATTATTTATAAGCTACAATATATACATAATATACAATATATATACTACAAGAAAATATATAAGAGAATATATATACATAAGATACAATATAATATACTACAAGAAAATATATTATGCGAAAATATATACATAATATACAATATATATACTACAAGAAAATATATAAGAGAATATATATACATAAGATACAATATAATATACTACAAGAAAATATATTATGCGAAAATATATACATAATATACAATATATATACTACAAGAAAATATATAAGAGAATATATATACATAAGATACAATATAATATACTACAAGAAAATATATTATGCGAAAATATATACATAATATACAATATATATACTACAAAAAAATATATAAGAGAATATATAGCCATGATACTACAAGAAATTGCCTTAAAAAAAAAGAAGCCCGCTAGGCCCACGAAGCCCACGAGCCCGACCCGTTAAGCACAGGACCATGTGGGCTTAGGCCCGTTACTGGCCGGTTCCACCCATTGAGCCCACGAAGACCGGGACCGCCAGGCCCGGGACCGCCAGAGCCCANGGCTGGCCCGGCTTAGCCCGCGGTCCTCTTAGTGCTGGATTGGGCCGATCATTTTAAGGCCCATTCATATGGGGGGCCCGCCCATCCTAGCCCATCAAATTTAAAAGTCCACGAAGCTTGGGCTGAGCTGGGCTGAACTAGCCCGTTTCAACAACTCTAGCTATTTTCACTGTTAACGGTCCAATATGAGGACCGGGTTTTATCTACATGTCAATTTCTCCTCTCATCAAGTGGAATCCTCTGCAAGATTTTAGGATTTTCTTCACTCCTAAAATCCTTTGAAAATTAAAAGCAAGCATATTTATTTTTTAATCACTTACAAGTCCACTTGATTGAGTCAGTGGAACGAAAACGGATTGTGACATAGTGTTTTAATAAATTTCCTTCCATTACTTTAATTAATAGGAGTATCTATTGTGATATCTTATTTTCTCTGACCCCAAACAATTAATGATAGGATAATTAGTAATTACCTTAGGAAATTTCTCTAAATAGTGGTCAAAACCATTTTCTAACATGACTTCTGCAATTTGACAAGTCAGGAAATATTTGTGAACATACATGAAGGGCTGCATTTACCTGGCGTGTAGGTAAATTTTGCATGTCTATATTTACGCATGCTTGATGTCAATAAGTAATGCACTACAATTGAATAGAGTTTCGATAGGATTTAAGTTATAGACAACATATTATTATTCTATTTTTCAGGTTATCATTTCAAGCTTACCATCAAGATGTATATATTGCTGAAAAATCAAATTAATCTGATGGTATAAAATTTTTATACTCTGGCAATGCACATAATATAAACTCTCTTCGCGCGATAAGACATGCAAAAATAATTCTCATTCTTCTTAAGTGATCTTTCGTTATATATTTCATCCTTCAACAACTCAAATACACAACACATGCACTCTCATATATTTTGTATTTTTCTCCAATCACTTTAATTTATTTTCAAGAATCATCTCGTACAATGATGAATATCACCATTGTTATGGGTGAAAGTGAATTTTCTATGGAAGTTAGCCCACAAGAGTCAATTCTTGAAACCAAACAAAAAATAGAAAACCTCTTAGGTGTGCCAGTGGCTTCCCAAAATCTCTCAGTTTTTGGATTTGAATTATTGGATGGACTATACATCCAAGATTATCCTATAAGTACTCAAGGTACAAAAATCCGTCTAACCATATTCCAAAATAGTAATACTATTGCAGAAACATCCGTACAACAGATTGAAAATTTCCAAATTATTGTGAAAATTTCAGCTAGAAAAATCAACATAGACATTGACAGGACTGAAACTGTTCGAAGCCTAAAAGAAAAAATTCACATAGTTGATGGGACCCCAATAAGGAGAATGGCTCTTTACTTTTCTGGAAATGAATTAAACGATGATTATCGGAGTTTAATTGAATATGGGGTTCAAGAATTTTCAGAAATAATTGTGTTTTTAAAGACTGTGTCACGAATGGTTACTGATCCACCTTCAAGAGGACTGAACCTAGTGGTGCAAACTTCATCTAGTTTGCTAAATGCAGCAAAAATTCCAGTGGAAATGAGTGATTTGGGTACTGTTAATGATTTGAGACAACTATTATTAGATCGAACAATTCTGCCTATGGATGATTATATTTTCATTCACAAACAAAGGATTATGAGGGATAGTTGTAGTCTTCGTTGGCATGGTGTTGAAAATGGGGATTTCGTCTATGTTTTTAAAGGGTCTGTTAGTAGGGAAGCATGTTGAGAAAACAGCTTATGTTAGTTAGCAAAATAAAAAAAATCACTATTTCTTGACTTTATATTTATGCATATTAGTATATGGCTAATGGTCTATGTCATTATGTTGAAAGGTAACTTGTTGAAGTGTATTATTGGCATAATCTGTTCTTGTTAACAGATAGTAATATCATTTAGAATTAGTATTTGTCGTTTGTGTTTTTCCTTTATATTAGATAGATATTAGATTTATCTTATAGATTAGAGTTATCATTTAGTTAGTTTTGACTGTGTTTAGATTTAAATAAGTCTCCTGAAACAAGGAATACTCTTTGAAAGACTAGTATTTAAATACAAACCGGTATCTAATACAACATACAATATTTCATCATCTCTTTACATAGTCATAATCTCTAATGAGTACAATCCAATCTCTTTACGTGTTTATACATATGACCATTTTATCAAAAGTTTAAGCTATTAATAGAGAATGTTTGGATTGGCTTTTAAAAAATACTAGCTTTTAATCTAAAAGTCATAAGCTGTGATTTTGGCCTTATTAGCTTGATTTCATAAGTGAGCATAAAGTTGGAATTGAATAGATAGTGAGAAAAAGCGTCTTTCGCGATTCAAGTAGTAAGCTCGGATTCATGATTGAGAAAAAAATTAGGGTAATACTCAACTTTTGGTTTTTGACTTTGGGATAATACATAATTAGCCATTGAGGTTGTCGCACTTTACGAGATGCACTCTTCTGCTTTGCGGGAGTTTTATGACCCCCTTGTATAACTTTTAAATAATATTATTACACGCTTTTTAGGCCATGTTCACTTTCAACATAGGAAGTGATGGCACGCACCAATATTTGCTTGACACGTCAAAATGCTAAGGGGTATTAAGTTGTGTTTTAGCTCGTCTTGTAAATCAAAAAGTTAAGTCAAACCAAAAATAATTCTAACAATGAGAACTAGCTAGTAGCTAGTAGTAACGCTTTTTGTTTGGTGAAAATCTACACAACGAATTTCCAACTAACCCTTCGATTTTATGTATCCACCTACCCAAATTTTTTGGACCACCACACATTTTTCTGTAACTACCATTCTTATTTTTGTCTTTTTTTAATTCACTGAACTCTCAGTCTATTGCAAAATCAGAACCACCCACGAGGACCCCTACTTTTAGATTCTTTTTGCTCTTCTATTTATACATAATATACCTATTCAAGCTTGTTATTTCTACTCTTCTTTACTCCTCCATTGTAAATCAACTTCTAGCTATTCTAATGGCAGATGAACAATCCAGCACATCAGATAATACCTTCGTCGTCTCAGCTGGTAACTTATTATTCATAGTATAATTGTTTTTCTAGCAAATTAAAATGCGATGTTTCTCTTTCTGCTTGTCACTTTATTTTAAGGAATTTAGAGCACTACCCACTATTATACTACTTACGTATTTTCATTATCGTTTGAGAGGAGAGAGGGCGCTAGCTCGATCGAGTATATAAGTATTAGGTTCATATTCTCTGTTACAATCTTAATACAACTTTTATTTTTATTGGATCTCTCATGACGCTTCATTATGTAGTGATTAGGAGATATATAAATCTGAGCGAAACGTCGTCTGTGTACACATTATCACCTTATTTGTGAAATTACATTGAGTTTGTTGTTGTAATAAATCTGAGCAAAAATACAACAAGAACAGAGGGAAAAAAAGAAGAGAAAAAAAAGCTGTTCAGCTTAATTAGAGGTTTAGAGCAACCTTATGATATGATCCGTTCACCGATGGGTAACTATACTCTAATGCCACAAATAACAAATATTCAGCCTTTGCTATACTTTTGGATTAAAAAAATACTACATATTCCTCTTGTGAATATGACAGATGAAAATGATACTTATGAATTCATGCTCTTTTGCATGTAGAGACAACCACCGAAGAAACCTCTAAACTTGAATTTTCAGAAGAGGAGGAAATGCTCATTGCTAAAATGTTTAACTTGGTTGGGAAAAGGTACGTACGTAATCTCTCTCTGTGTGTTTTCTTATTTTCTTCTTTTCTATAACTTGTAATTTTTCCAGTTCTTCAATTAAAAATTATTATGGTCCCTTAGGTGGTCATTAATAGCTGGAAGAATCCCAGGAAGAACTCCTGAAGAAATTGAGAAGTACTGCAACACGAGATACGTAATCCACAAGCCAGCATCCTCCATTAATGAAGAAACACGAAAGCTTGAAAACAACTTACAATGATTGTATTGGGAAAAATTAAGTTCATATATGGAAGTTATTATAAGATGACACGTCATGACACGTGGATCAGTCAAAGAAGGATAGGTGACAAAGAATAATCAAAGAGACACGAGCTTCAACAGGCACATGCAGATATTCAAAGAGACGCTCGAATCTCTTTATGATTAAAGAGAATGAATTTGATAGTAAATGAGGTTTAGATACGTATCATTGGGCATTAAATATGGAAAACGTTAAGGAATCTGTAATGAATCAAATATGATTACTAATTGTAACGTTACATTAAAGGCCATTAAATGCCATTAATTGTCAATAATGGCTCTGTTATGGTAGAAACAAAACGTATTACCTAGAGATAGCTATAAAAGGAGAAGACTGATCATTTGTAAGAACACGAAATACTATTGAAATATATTGTTTACTTTGCATTATATTCATCTACTATTTATCAATTATTCTTATTTCTATTTGATTATCAGTAACCCGAGTTCTTCTAAAATAAGCTTTGATCGAAATCTCAATTTTTGGTTAAACAAATTGGTTCCGTTACCGGGAATCTAATAATCGTTTGCTTTCTTAGTCAATTCTTTCATCAAAAAACTTACCATGTCAAATAACAACGACAACAACCAACAAGATCCTCAAAATCAGGAGAATGATATGGGTGACAGGACCCCACTTTCCTTACCACGTGATTCACAACGTCAGTCACGAGAAGGAACTCCAGATGGCTCTGAAACAAACAACGGGATTGCGAACCAAAACGGATTTGAGGCAAATCAAAATACTGGAGTTGCGAACGAACAAGCACTCGATGATGCTCTGAAGAATCTAATTGCTCAACAAGTCAGTAATGCTCTTCGAGCTTTTACTAGCCAGTTACTAGTTGCTCCACCAACACCAACTCCGAATCAGAATACTTTGGAAAATCCACGTTCTGGGCTCGTTAATTCAAGCATTGGTGGAACTCCCAACGAGTCTCGTGATGGCGAACCAGGTAACATAGTTAATTCTGATTTACAAAATTTAGTTCTAACCTTGCAGAAGCAGCTCAAGGAGCAAAGCGATCGCATAGAGCAAATACCGGGAGTACCACCTGTAATCAAAGGAATAAACATGGATAAATACTCACAACAACCATGGAAGCCTAGTGCTGCTTCGTTGTTGATCCCGAAGAAGTTTAAGATGCCTGATATTCCAAAGTATGATAGCACAACTGATCCACGAGACCACGTGACTGCATTCACAACTGGTGTGAAAGGCAACAATTTAATCAAATAGGAAATTGAGTCAGTATTGGCCAAGAAATTCGGTAAAATACTCACCAAGGGAGCATTAACTTGGTATTCCCTCTTATCCGAAAATCCTATAAATTCTTTTACTGAGCTTGCATATTCATTTATCAAAGCACATTCGGGGGCTCAAAAAGTTGAAAAAAAGAATGGAAGATATTTTCAAAATCAAGAAAGGATATTCAGAGTTGCTTAGGGAGTTCGTGGATAGGTTCCAGCGTGAAAGGATGATGTTACCGCGCGTACCTGATAACTGGGCAGCTATGGCTTTTGCCAGTAATTTGAATGAGAAAAGCTCGGAAGCCACGAGATGACTCAAGGAAAGTCTGCGGGAATTTCCAGCAACAACCTGGAATGATGTTTACAACAGATACAACACGAAGCTAAGGATAGAAGAAGATACTATCTCCCGATCACAGACAGAGGAGAAGGTGAATTCGAGACGAGCAGAAATCGAAAAAGGTCAGGTAAAAAATAGATACGAACCATACATGGGCCCAGCAGGAAAAGCCTCACGATCAAAGCAGGATAATTCAAGGTTTGATCATAGATCAAGGAATAGAGAGTCGGGTTCATCATCGATATTTGGAAATGATCTAAACACGTGAGAGACGCGAGATGATGATAGGAACTTGAAGGAAAGATTTGGAGGTTATAATTTTAATGTAAGCACTTCTGAGCTAGTAGCTGTATTAAGAAGCATGGGTGATAAGGTGCGGTGGCCAAAAGAAATGAGATCAAATCCAAACAGGCGCAATCCTGATCACTGGTGTGAATTTCACAATGAACATAGTCATAAAACGGTAGATTGTAGATTGTTACAAGGTCAAGTTGACCATCTATTAAAGCAAGGGTATCTTACTGAATTATTTAGTGAAAAAGGTAAGCAAGCATACATGAAGAACATGCAAGAGCCCCCTAAACCTCCTTCTCCGAAAAGGACCGTTAATGTTATAAGTGGGGGCGAGGAAATCAACGGCGTGACATATATGGTGGCCAATAAAGTTTCTAAAGTTACAATTACCCACGGGAAGAGGGTTCGACATGTTTTGGAGGAAGAAAGTATTACATTTGATGATGCAGATGCGGACGACGTATTAACTCCTCACAACAATGCACTGGTAATCTCTCTACTTGTACATGATACTAATGTGAAACGAGTTTTGATTGATCTAGGTAGTTCCGTGAACATTATTTTGCTAAGAGTACTAAACGAGATGCAAGCTGAAGATAAGCTAGTATCTAAGGCACATACTTTGTCTGGATTCGACAATTCAAGCGTTGTGACAAAAGGTGAGGTAACACTTACAACCTTCGCAGAAAGGGTTGTCAAAGATACGAAACTTCAGGTTGTGGAGATGGAAATGACTTACAATATGATTCTCGGGAGACCCTGGATTCACGAGATGGATGTTGTTCCATCTACCTTACATCAAGTTGTTAAATTCCCATCACCATAGGGAATACGTCAAATCCGTGGGGATCAACAAACTTCCAGGAGCATCAATTCTATATCAGATTCAAGTACGAAAAACGAAAAAAGTAGCAATTACAGAATCCAGTTGAGGATACCACGACACAAGCCTCAATTGAACAAAGACGAACAGATGTAGACTCAAGGCCCGATTCCATTCAAGAACCAGAAGAAAATGAAAATATCAAAACAACAATTGAAGAACTGGAGGCTGTAGTGTTATTTGCATAATGGCCTGAAAGGAAAGTCTACATTGGGGCCAACTTAAGCCAGGACATGAAAGGTAAGTTGATTGAATTTTTAAAAACTAACGTGGATTATTTTACCTGGTCCCTTTCTGATATGACAGGAATACCCCCGGAAGAAATGACTCACAAGTTAAATGAAGATCCATCGTATCCGCCTGTCAAGCAAAAGAAGAGAAAGCATGTGACTTTCAAAAATCAGGTGATTCAAGATGAGGTTCAAAAACTATTAAAAATTGGGTCTTTTCGAGAGGTAAAGTATCCTAATTGGTTAGCCAATACTGTAGTGGTACCGAAAAAAATGGCAAATGGCGAGTTTGTGTAGATTACACCAACCTTAACAAAGCATGTCCTAAAGATTCTTTTCCATTACTACATATAGATCAACTAATTGATGCTACTGCAAGACATGAGTTGTTAAGATTTTTAGATGCGTATTCAAGGTATAATCAGATCAAAATGGATCCCCTAGATGAAGAAAAGACTTCATTTATAACATACAAGGGGACTTATTGTTATAAAGTGTTGCCCTTTGGTCTCAGAATCGCTGGTGCCACGTATCAAAGATTGGTGACTAAAATGTTCCAAGAACATTTAGGAAAAACTCTGGAAGTCTACATAGATGATATGCTTGTCAAATCTCAACAATCAGGAGATCATATATCACATTTGTCTGATACATTTCAGATCTTATGAAAATTCAATATGAAGCTAAATCCCGAGAAATGTGCATTCGGCGTTTCATCAGGTAAGTTTTTGGGTTTTCTTGTTTCTAACCGTGGTATTGAAGTAAATCCCGCACAGATTAAAGCCATTGAAGAAATTCCTGACATGCTTACAAATAAGAAAGAGGTGCAGAGACTAACGGGAAGAATTGCAGCCTTGAGAAGATTTATTTCCAAGTCATCAGAAAAATGTTTTAAATACTTTTTGGCTCTTAAAAAGCAAGACCAGTTTGAATGGTACGAAGAATGTCAACAAGCGCTCAAAAACCTGAAGGCATACCTGTCAAATCCACCGTTGCTCGTAAAATTGAAGGTCGGGGACCCTAAATGGGTGTTATGTTAATGAGTGTTTAACGTTGACTATATATATAATGGTTGGTTGATATATATTTATTTCTCATTCATCATTTATTGTTGGTGGTTGCAAACATTAACAAGTGCCATTAAACTCTTTCATTACTTGGAAAAGTGAGTTGGGGTTTGGTAGAAGTAAATATCAAAGACTCAAGGTTTTAAACCTTGTTTAATAGAATCGCTTAGGAATAAGTGGTTTTATTTGGCATAAATTGATTGCTCTTAATAGCAACTCTTTTATATTTGGAAAAATCATAAAGAGGAAATACTAGCCAACTATTGAAAAATATTGGGTAGTCATTTAGAAATCATTTGCATATCTAAAGAACCTTCCATTAGAAATATGTTATATTAACACCGATAGCATTACATTTTATTGAAGGGGACACACCCTTGGTTTCCTTAATCAAATTATTTACATTCTCAACGTTACAATTAGTTATTTCTTCAAATCAGTATCATATCATTATCTTGTTACTATTAACGAAATAGAATTACAACCTAAGTCAAGTAGCACACTACTCGAGTAACCTTTTTACGCCTATTCCTTGTGGGATTCGACCTCAACCTTTTTGGATTATTATATTTGACATCGACCGCCTTACACTATTTAATTAAAGTGTAATTTGAGTGTATCAACGTGAAATCCCTTACAAACCATCTTTCTAAATGTAGGCATCATTGTATTATGAATAAGATAGGGTTTAGGAAATTGTGTTCTTACAACTGAGCTCTACCACACGATCTAGAGTGAGAAGAAAGAGTGACAGTCCTAAATGCCCTGTAGCCTCTTGCTTATAAGTGTAGTGCACAACACACCTATAAACAAGATCTACTAGACGCAGATTGTAGACTCCCTAGGACAGAACTGCTCTGATACCACTTTTGTTACGACTCAAACCGATGGGCCGCCACGATCACCCGATGCCATACTCGGCCCGAGCGTACCATTCTGTAACTATGAACTCTGGAGGGGTAACCCTTAACTTATGCCGATGAGGCCATACTCTGAATCATCTTAAAATATCATCAATCTCATCAATCTTATCTGAGGGGTAAACATACCCAAAGGCTCATATATATGTATAACTGTGCAGGTTGATGAGGCCTCCATGAACGTCTACTGATAGACCAAAATATATAGGAGTTGTCTACAAGCCTCTAGAGATAACTGAACAATATCATGATCGGGACAGGGCCTCGACCTGCCCATCAAACCTATATATATAAAATATTCTCCAAGGTATAGACCTGGTAACTCCGGGAAAGTGGAACGTACCAACCAAGCTGATGTTTGACTCTGTCTACTGGGAAGATCTATCCA